TGTCTCTGTCCAGCTTCGATAAAAGTTGATTGAAAAATATTGTGGATCTGGGTGGTGCTGACAGAGCCAACCACAGCTTGAATTTGGGCAAGTTCATTAGAAGTTGAATAAACAATGCACTTTCGATGACTCTTACGTTGTTAATTAGTTATGTAGGGAAGTTGTAGCAGGTAACATACCCTGCCTCTGGTGATTAATCTACAACTCTCTGATTTAGTAAAAATTCAAAAAAAGAAGCTGTTATGTGAAAGTCACATTAAACTTGCAAGGCAAACAAGGTCCAGCAAGGTCCCTACTTTTATAGAGTAGGGAATAATTAAAACCCCTTTTAGGTTTTTTTGGCAATTGGGTCTTATTGGGAGATTTCCCTTCACTTCCTGCCCTGTAGACAGAAAAGGAAGTGAGAAGAAATCCCTCCGAAGGGAACTAAATAACTTCTTAGACAGCTGTCACCAGAACAAGTATCTCCATTGCAAGATTTTCCCTCTACTTCTGTTCCGGTGACATTTCTAAAATCTGGATCTTCACTTTTAATCCTTGTGGTCTTAGAGAGTAAATCTACCTAACAGGGCCACGAACTGCAAATAAACCTGATGGGTTCTAAAGCCTCACCGCCGTGTCTAAAAGTAAAGTTTGGGTTTTAGATACACCTTAAAATATGAGATAACTGAAAATACAGTGAGGGGTATAAGTCAAAACGGCAGCAGGAATCTGGAGCAGTTGCCCATGGCAACCAATCAGCTTCTATCTTTCATTTTCAACAAAAGGGAAGCTCATTGGTTACTATGGGCAACTGCTCCAAATTGTGTCAGCTCCAGTGTCGATACATTCTCCCCAGTAGATCCACTTTTGTGGTTGAGCAGCTGTTCAATGCTGCCACTAGCAGTAAGCATCTATAGAGCTGTTGAAAAGTGCAATTGGCAAAACATTTTATGACAAATGTTGCTGACTGTGCACATACCACCATATTACATAACCATTGTCAGCTGTTACATGGATAGGTGGGAAGTATTGTCTTTGAAACGCATATTTTGAGACCGTCAGCAAACGTCCAATTTTAAATTTGTGCATCCATATGTACATCCATAACTTTTTCTTAAGGAGAGCAATTTTTCCTCTATTTTTATACTCTAGCAGCATTTTTAATGATCTTCATGTTTTCAGATGTACCGTAGCTTCCAGGAACACATATATTTTTATCTATAAGTCTGTCAGAGTCCAGATTCATTTCAAAATGTAATGCTAAAATCAGTATCAGCATAGCGATTTTGAATCTGCGTTTTCATGGTCCAGGGACAAAGCAGTGTCAAGAGTCCAGAGCAGAGCAGATTTCTAGAATAAAGTCTGAATTGAAAT